ATGGTAATCCCTATTTCTCCTCACTAAACACATTATCATGTTTGTGTATTGACCTCAAGGTGCTACAGGTGCTACACTGCTACCCGTATATCCAATAATAATTGAAGACAATGAAGTGTAAATAATTTTCTATATTTAGTTAAAATTCAAAGGATTTTTTATATAATAAAATGCTGATCATTTTATCACGTGATACCGGCGAATTTCCGATTTTTTTTTGAATAAACGCAGTTTATACCTAGGTTTCAAGGTTTATTTATATGTGTATTTTTGCCTCCTCTACAATTGGTAAAAAGGGTTTAAAACTTCATTTTTGACTTATACCATGGGGTGCGTTCAAACGCAGTGCGTTTAAATTTTTTAAACCCAAATTCAAATGATGTAAATTTAAGTAATTCTATAAAGAAATTCTCTTTTGGAAGTCATGTGTAATTCACCAGCCATGAACAGATAAAAATACTCACACTTATGAATTTAAGAGAAGACCGAAAAATAATATTCTTGCGGAAAATCAAAATGTTGAAATCCAAACTTTTAACATTAACCAGGACCTTGAAAAAAAGGAAGGGGAAAGGATGAGAAGGGGAAGGGGAAGGGGAAGGGGTAATAAGCGAGGGAAAGGCAGAGAAGGGGGAAAAGAGCGAAACATACACCACACATCCAGTCACCCACATACTCACACCATACACACTAAGAACGAAGGGATAGGTAAATATACTGTATATTGAGATGTACGTGAATGAAATTGTTCATAAGTTATAGTCTTATTTGTGGGAAAGTCTATCTTTATTAATTATAAGTCATGAATAATCTAAATAGTATAAAAATTGCTTGATAATTGATTGATTTTAAAAAAATATATTTATGATATTACGATATACCGCGTATCAATAAAATAATCTCTTGATCAGTAGCTTGTGTTATTCTGTGACATACAATAAATTTTTTACTAATATTATTATTATTTCATTGGTTGAAATGAAAACCTATTAACTAGTAAATCGGTAATTTTGATTTGAAAATAACAAACTATTTTGCTATGACAATCTTATTACCAGATGAAAGGATTGTTTATATGAGAAGAAATAATATTCTCGGTTTGTATAATTACTTGGGATTGATTATTATCATTATTAGATACTGCATGTTTATTATAAACATAATTTATAATTTACAGAGAATCCATTTATATGATACCAATTATGAGGGATGGAATGCCACTAACGTGGCTTATTTACCTCTATCACGCCTATTAATCATATATACTTCCCAGCGTAACAACTTGTATATAGGATACGGATAACACGTTCATAATTGGAAAATAATTCCGCTTGTTAATTTATGAAGTCCAAGCAACTTATTAACACAATGAATAAATTTGTAAAGTACATTAATTATAATAATAAAAATAATTTGATATAGGAAGATTTGCTATTCTAACGAGTTTCTTAATACAATTCTCATTAGCTGAAAATAATCTCCATCATATAATTTTCTGTTTCTGGGTCTTTAGTGATGCCAAAAAAAAATAATCTTTTACCAAGTAATAATACAAACAAACGCAAATAATTATAGTTACTTCTTCCTTCCTTCCTTTCCTTTTCAAACCTCCTGACTTCAGTGGTGGAGTATTTGCTACAGTTTTTAATTTTCTGACAAAATTTTTCTTGTTTTTCTGTCTTACATCCCGTCTTTTCTGTTTCGATAATGATGAATTTGTGTCAGCTCGTGTATTTTTGAGAGGATAAAGATGTTTAAGTGCATATATGTCATCTTCACTTAACCTTTCACGTTGGCCTGAATTGTAGAAAGATATTTATCAATAGATGATGTTGATTGTATAAACAAATTGAAAGGAGCCTTATACAAGACCAACTATGTAAGGATCTATTTCTACTCCCGGCTTTCATATTTATCCGTCTACGTGAAGAATAGTGCATTATAGAATTGCGATCGTACGGCTATAACACCGCACATTCGATGTTGAAAGCTTCTTATAATTTTCATCATATTTCTCAACGTTCAAATAATCGTCACAGTCAGTCAATGCACTCAAGTGTATGCATCAGTTCGTGTATAGCACTGCCTATGGGCTTGGCCAACCCGTGGTAACAGATAACTTCTTTATGATCGCGAAATGAATAAGAGCCACTGGCATTATAGTATTATAGACAGATTACTACCTAGGATCAGTATCCGCTCGCGTCAATAGTCTTAATGCAGTCATTTTGGTTAATTCTCACCACAATCTAAACGAACTATCGCTTAAATACTCTATTATTAACGCAATGAGAGAGATTTTAAGTTCAGGAAATATATCTCCGAATTCATATGGGACGATCCATGGCACAGGAATCAGAGTCACTCATATAACTCAGTACAATGATCTATTTTCTTGTTTATAACTTAGTTGCAAAAAAATAAGAGGATTCCTGGTCTATTTATTTAAAATAGTAAGAAACATGGTAATAATAATTTTTCACGATTATGAAGAAAGTTTTTTAAAAAAAGTTTCACAAAAATGTCAACAACTGTATAACACAAACGGTAAATAATAACAGATCAATAAAATAATAAAATGGAAAATATAAATATAAAAAATTCTACTATTTTGTTTAATCAACTTAAAACCTGATCACGCTACTCGGAATCTAAGAATGCCGAACGCATTTTTTCTAATCTACATATCATCATCTTTCAATAATGGTGCGAACACTTAGAAAATTAATTCATAGATTATATATATGTACTTCGCTAATGAACATAATGTCTGTCCGATTTCTTTTTCCCACTCTTCTGTCTTTGCCAATCACACTTTGATATGAATTTACTCACGTGTTAATATATACAGATTCTTTGATTGGCTGATCTCAATATATTATGATAACAAAATTATTGGTTTTTAATATACTGTAAAATTTAAAAAAATGAAGTACAAATTTCATAAATTAAAACTAATCAAATAATCTAACATATATTTATCAATTCTATCAACCATTTCATTTTTCATATTTTAAAAAAAGTTTCGCAATCATAAAGCATCACATGATCATCAATATAATCATGAGTCATCTTGCATAAAGTTTAAATTTCAACATTTATCTCATCTCTCATTCTTTCCTTTTCCATCTTTCTCATATTCATTTAATATACTTCCTTTTCTCTCCATTTCGTTTACTCTTCCATCTTTCTCATATTCATTTAATATACTCCTTTCATCTTTACGTTTAACCGTACAAAGAAATATTGAAGATGTTAGAATAAACTCTCCTTGTTTTTAGTACTTTGTTGGATACTTTGTGAGTCTGTGAGTACCAGCTTTGCTGCAGTCTCACAGTAGAGCTGACTGGGAATTTTTTGAAGCGGTATAGTACTATGCGAGGGTTGGAGCATAGGCGCTTGCTTATTAGTAAGCTCGTAGGTACCAGATAGGGCCGGTTGGTGTGGAACTGCATGGTGCTATGCGTAGTATTTTTTACAGGGTGGGGTATAGTGCACTTCTTATGAAGTCCCTTTGTGGCAGGGCCGGAGTACTTTGTCATTAATATAATGATGAAAAGTAGCAAGATTTTAAATAAAAATTCTTGCTTTGTATAAATCAATTATCTTTTTTATAATTTATATTAAATGATTTAAAGAATCTGACAAAACTTTATATGTTTGATATTTTCTATGAAATTACAATCAAATATATATAACTTGTTAATAATCCTTGTTTTATTAATTAATCAAATGCATTTGTAGCTAAACATTATAATTAATTTACAATTTTGTCCTAAAATATATATTTTTTTATGGAGAAATAAAAAAATCGATTTACTTTTTTTTTTTTAAAAAAAAAAAATAATAATAATTTCAATTCTTTTTGGCTATTACTGAACTAATAATAAAATAATTTTATAATTTTACCAATAATGATATATGATAATAATTAATGATATATGATAATAATATGTATTTTTTTTTATTTTCTATCTAATTTTTTTATTTTTCTCAAAATATCAAATTCCTAGTGATAATCATTGGCTTAGTGTTGAATTCCAATGGCGAAGCAAGAATAGGACTTGATATAACAATTATTAATAGTTCATGAAACTTGAATGTATTTTGATTAAAATGTTGCTATTCTTCGTTAGACAGATTCTTTAAAGTTCAAAGTTTGCTGTATTTGTACATGCATAACTAGGATAGAAATTGCATCAAAACAACACTTCAATGATAAATTGTGAAATCTCGAAATTTGGAAAAATTTTGCACTAAATAATAAAAAATATATATCTATATAATAAAAAAATTACAATGGATCTCCTTTTCCGCCTCTAAAATGAATAATCCTATCTAATTTAAATTGTTTCAATTAACTTGATTTGTAGAACTGGTAATCTCACTCTAGGAAATAAGGAAAAGATTGTATTTCTTTTTCTTATTGGAAAATTAAAAATCTTAAGAAAGAAATTATGATTAATAAGCTTTTCGTATGTAACATTATTGGTATATTCTTAATTAGATTTTGAAATGACCTTTTAATTCTATTCCCATATAAATAATATAACCATCAGGATATTTTTCTTTCAGAGATATTACCGATTATATTAATATTTCTGTTTTTTATCTTTTCGAGGGAAACATTAGTTTGTTTTACACAAAGATCTCTACACAAAAACTTTATCAAATTCTCTCCATTGATCCTGAATCCATAAATCGACTTAAACATAATATTTTGTAATGCTGCCTGTGATGATTTGATAATTGCGACATACGAAATTAATTAGGAAACATGTAATTAGATTTGAGGATTTAAAATTTATATCGGTCAATAATCCTTTAAGGTATGTCATCCGTCAATCTCACTTCATTCTTTGGTTTAACGATAATTATTTAACATCAACAAGTCAAAATATACAAAATGTCAAATGAATTTCAAAACTTATCAAAAGTAACGGACTAAAACAGAGAGTATGTAATAAAGGAAAAGTTTTAGATTTATTGAAATATTAAATTGTTTCTTTATTAGGTAAAAACATTAATTACATAATATAATGAACATATTCTCTTTAGACTCGGACGAGAATGATTTATTATTTTCTCGACCTCATAATGATAATGTTTATCATTTTGCATCCTTTATGAATTAAAATAAATAAAATAAAATTTTAATAGAATAAATATTCTAAATTCAAAATATTTAAAACATACCGGCAAAATATTTCATTATAACTCTTCCATAATCAGATATAATGTTGCTGATGAATAAAAACATCTTTCCGTTGCTGTTTAGTAGTAACAATATTTGGCCATTGTTGCCGAAAGGAAAGAATTTGCTGTTCCTGTTGCTGAGGAAGATTTTGCTGTTGCTGTTGAGTAGAAAGATTTTGCTGTTGTTGTTGTCGAGTGAGAACAATTTGCTGCTGTTGTTGTTGCTGCAAAGTACGTTGTTGATATTGTTGGAAAAAATTATCTTGTTGTTGTAATTGAAAGGGAACATGTTGCTGAGAGTACTGAGGGAGAACGTTTTGATACTGTTGTTCAAAGGAAATATTTTGCTGTTGCTGCTCAGAAAGAACAGGCTTAGGTAAAATAAAACGTGGAGTTGTACGCGTAATATAACTAGTTTTATTATTAGATTTATTTTTCTTTTGAGGTCTAAGTTCACTAAGTTCACTAAGTTCATGAGAAGGACTAGAAGAACTAGTACGTTTATTCATACTTGTTAAATTGAGAATTTTAGAGAACGCGTATTTACGTGTTAAAAAAATTAACTATGGCAAGTACGGTAAGTACTACTGTACATAAATACTTTGATCAAGTCGCACAAATTTTTACCGCACGTGATTTTGATCCCTTTAAAGAATAAATCATATATAGAAATGCAATAATATATAAGTAGAAATAGTAGAAATTCTAATTTTTTAATTAAACTGATCTCGTATTCGTGTTTAATTTTAACTTGTATGATTCTTTTGTGAATCAAAATACTAATCCTTAATTTTTATATACATAATCTTCATAATCTTAAAGATAAAAAAACAAAAAATTTATGAGAAAGAGTTTAAAATTAAAAACAAATTTGGTATTTTCCGAAAACCACTAAAATTTCAATTTCACTGCATGCATATCCATGAAATAATTAACCCTATTTTGATAAATTCTTTCCTTCTTTATAAAAATAATATAATAACAAACAATAATAGATTGATTTTATTATTGAATTCAATTTATTTAGGTTGATTGACAATTGTTATGTTGATTGTGTTATATTGGAATATCTTGAATAATGTAGATTGTAGAATTGTAGATCATATATATAAATTGATAAGTTGATGTTACCTAAATATGCTGACTGAGGGTACCAAATATTTTTGGACATAGTCAAAGTGAAATAATTATTAATATTTTTCCAAATGATCATCTTTTTTTGGTTAAAGTGGTTAATACCCCTTCTACTATATTAATTTTATGATGAATGATTCATGTAATACAGTTACCAGAATTGATATATACGTATTTATGATACATGCTGTACATAATAAACAAATTCTTTAATAAAATATATGAATTTGGTATATCTAAACATCAATGACATTTTAATTTTTAATATTGTTCTTTTTATTTATTATTAGTAATCTATATCTCTATGCTAGTTAACATGCTTATACGATTGTTTCTTTATATATATATGTTCTTATATGGCGTTGCGCATTGCGCAGTCAGCTTCAGGAGCACATCGTATTACATTGTACAACGTATAAATAGATTTGAAAAGAAAAAAAAGGAAAAAAATTTATAACTTAGACTTCTCGAATTCTTTACTATTGATTAAACCATCGTTGATCCGACTGTTAATTCAATAATAAATCCAACTATGTCGGCAATGGAATTCGATCAAAATTTCGATTCATCTGGAGGATTCAATAAAACTTCACTCATTAACTCGCATAATAATATTAATCTTAACCCTCCTAATTTTGAGAATGATGATGTTATCACTTTAAACGTTGGTGGTATCAAGGTATTCGATATTCTGACGTTTATAAAAAAGTAAATTTAAACAAATTGCTAACGTAAAACAAGTTATATCATTATTTAGTATGAAACGTATCGTTCAACGCTTACATCCTATCCTGAAACGTTTCTTGGAACCATGTTTAAAGAAAGAAACAAAGATTTGTTAATTCCACGGGGAAAGAACAAAAATGAATATTTTTTTGACCGTTCTGGGGAACTATTTAAATATATTATCCAATTTTATCGAACAGGAAAAGTTATCATACCACGTGAGTGTATCTATATTTAATGCATTTTTTTCTTTAAAATAATAATAATAATAACAATAGTTTTATATTAAATTTCATTATTTTTTTTTTATATTTGAAAAAAAAAGCCGAAGTTGATACCAAAGAGATGGAAATTGAATTAGACTTTTTTCAAATACCACGTCCAATATCATCTACGATTGATAAAATAGCGATTTCAAAAGTAAATGAATTAGTAAACACTTTTAAAGATTTAATAAAAGAAGTAGCGGAGTATTATATGAGGAAGAATTCTTTCAGGGGGTTCGAGGCTGAAATTGATATTTGTTTTCTTGATAATGGACAAGCGACCGTAAAGGCCGGATTGGATAATACTTTAACAGATGCATTTGAATCTTCAAAGCATTATGCTTATAATATAATGTCAGTTTATAAAAATGAAATTAAGAAATGTCTAGAAGCAGAATATCCAGAATTGACATGGACGGATGATCATAAGGTTGGTTCCGTTCAATATTACAAAATCAAGCTAACTATTAGATGGAATTTAGACTATGATAAAATCCTCAGTAGTTCTTGTATGTCCTAATTTTTATAGATTAATTAATTTATTTCAATTAGTTATAATAATTTTGTTGATATTAAAAAAAAAGTCTGTGTTTAATGTATAATGATGTACTTTTTAGAAACACAAAAATTTCTTTTACTGTATTGATGTTGCTTTTATCATATAATTAATTTAATGGATAACATTAAGTTTCGAATCAATTAAATAATTATTTCTGTATGCAGATGGATAATTATAGAACGAAAATACCAACATCATCAGCATGTTTTGCGAATTTTATTTTCGGGTGATAACTAATCAGTTAAATTTATAGATCGATACTTGTTTAAATATTACTATTAGACATTCATAATAAAAATAAATAAAAACTGTAAGAAACAAAGAATATTCAACGAATGAACAAATTTTTATTCATGAGTAGCTTATATTAATTTTAAATATATGTAAAAATATATTTAAAATTGTACAATATATTGTGCCAAACATAAAATTACGTACACGCTTATTTATTGTTTATTATTTATGATAATGAATTTATAATTGAACGCTATTTGAAGAAGTAACAATAGTTTGCTTTATTTCAAAATTAGTAACAACCACCACATCATATTACAACTGCCTACTACAAATATTTCGCTACAAATATTATGTAATTAATGCTAAATATATAAGCAAACTATAAAATTGAAATTAATAAATGAAACTTTTAAAAAAAAAAAGGAATAAGGATTCCTCTGATCGAATCAAATTTTGGAGTTACCGTTACTAGCTAAAGATGTATTATTATCTGCTTTTCCAGCTTCAGGAGAATCCATCAGATCATTTTCTTCCTTTGATGTATTCTCATCTGTTTTCGTTTCAGGACTAGTTTGCTGTTCATTCTGATTTTTATCACCTGGAGCATCATTCGTTTTTGCCGCATCGGTGGTATTGTTTTCATTCTGATTTTTATCACTTAGAGCATCATTCGTTTTTGCCGCATCGGTGGTATTGTTTTCATTCTGATTTTTATCACCTGGAGCATCATTCGTTTTTGCCGCATCGGTGGTATTGTTTTCATTCTGATTTTTATCACTTAGAGCATCATTCGTTTTTGCCGCATCGGTAGTATTGTTTTCATTCTGATTTTTATCAATTGGAGCATCATTCGTTTTTGCCGCATCGGTGGTATTGTTTTCATTCTGATTGTTATCACTTGGTACATTATCATCCATCTCTGTTACATCGGTGGTATTGTTTTCATTCTGATTTTTATCACCTGGAGCATCATTCGTTTTTGCCACATCGATGTCAGAACCCTTCATAATTTCATCATCTTGCTGTTCTGTATTCCCAGTCGTAGTAATATTAGTCATATCAGTCTGTCTCTCATTTGTATTACTATTTTGTTCTGTTTCTGCACCTTCATGCGACCGTTTCTTAGGATTTTGTTCAGTTATTACATCTGTCATTTCAATATCACGCGTATTATCCTCGTCTTGTTTCGTAGTACTATTGGTTGTATCGCTTGTATCATTTTGTTCAGTTTCTCCATGCGGCCGTTTCTTAGAATTTGGTTCAACTGCATCTATCATTTCAATATCATTGTCTTGTTCTGCATCTGGCATGTCAATATCATCATCATGTGTCCCATCTTTGATTTCCGTACCAACAATATCAGTACTATTCGTCTCATCCTTATCTTGATCTTTCGATGCAGTTGAAGTATGAGTGTCTTGAGTCTTATCCTTTTCTTCAACTTCTTTATCTTTAACCTTTCCTTCATTTTTATCAGTATTTAGCTCTTTATCATTGACTTGTCCAGTTGTCGAAGTCTCTTGATCCTTATCTTCTTCAGCTTCCTTGGTTTTATCAGTACTTAGCAGCCCTTTATCATTGATTTGTGTTGTCGAAGTCTCTTGATCCTTATCTTCTTCAGCTTCCTTGGTTTTATCAGTACTTAGCGGCCCTTCATCATTAGCTTGTCCAGTTGTCGAAGTCTCATGATCCTTCTCTTTTTTAACTTCCTTATTTTCATCAACACTTAGTGGCTCTTTACCAGTTGTCAATGTCTCATGATCCTTCTCTTCAATCTTTTCTTTGACCCCTTTATCATTATCAGTACCTATTATCTCTTTATTATTGACTTGTTCAGTTGTCAGAGACGTGTGAGTCTTCTCTTGATCCTTATCTTTTCCGGCTTCATTACCTTTCTTTTCTTCATTAGTTTTTGGTTTTTCTTCTTCTTTTACATAATTATCGATATCAACTGAAGGTGGAAAATATAAGGGTAATAAAGTCTCATATACATCCTTATTTTCGTCTTCGAATACGCAAAATATGATCCTATCAAGCTAATATGTGTATAGAATGAAAGTTAGTGAGGCGAAATAAAATATCATGGATTACATAAAAATCAAATGTTACCTTATCAAAATATTCCGAATTCTCCTCCAACCATTTTCTTATGGTGTCTAAAGCAAGTTGTCCAGCCTTACCACGTGGGTACCCATAAACACCTTTAAATTTAGACGTTAAAAATTGTTAATGAATTAAAATGATGATAAAAAAAGTATGATGAAATCTTACCTGTACTAATATTCGAAAATGCCTAAATTGTTAACAAACTATTATTAAGAAAGATATAAAAATATAAAACGATTAAAAAATTTATTATTTGTACATACTATACTTTTTAAATTATTTTCACACATGACATTCATAGATCGTACGTAAGCGCTACGAAGTAGGCCAGGTTTTTCACCTACAGGACCGACAGTGTGAATGACATCTAAATAAACAGAATAAATGAAAAAAAAAAATTAAATCATGTGCATAACGATAATTTCAATTACGATTTCAATTTTAACGTACGTTTAGATGGCAAGTCATGACCTAAAATGATGATAAGTTAAAGACAACAAGATTAGTTAGCGATCGTGCAATTAAAGTTTAAATTAAATGAATCTTTATATACCGCCAGTTATCTTGGCATCCTAAATATTCATATTGAGGTAAAAAAAAAATATATATATTTAAAACCCGATTCTTTTGTAATATGGAATAAATTCACGTCAATTGTAATTACTTACTCCAGTATCGCAACCGTTAAGATCCCAACACTCTTTTCTCAGTCCAGGTCCTGCAGCGCTAAAATATTATAATTAAACAAATAATCAATAAAATAAGTACGTGCATTTAATATTCAGATAATTATTTACCTGTGAATTGCTCCATCAACTAATACACGGATAAAAAAAAAATAATATAATAAGTTAACCAAATAAAGATTCTATTGGAAAAAAAATTTTTAACAAAATAATTTACCTCCTCCACCTCCCAAGAGTGTTTCATTCGCAGCATTGACTTAATAATATGTAAAATAAAGATATTGATATTTAAATATACCATATTTAAAAATTGTTGTTGAAATTGATTTAATATCGCGTAAAAACAAACCTATAGCATCAATCCTCAATTTCGTGATATCTGCTTGACTTTAAAAACACAAATAAGTAAGTTACAACATAAAAGCAAATAAAATCATTTGTTTAAATGTAAAAAAGAAACATACATTAGAGAGATCTTTTTATTAAATTCTTCATTGTGTTCATACTTGCGAGTAACTTCAAATATTAAACAAGTTTAAATAAATCAATATCTAAATATATCTTGTAAGGAAAACCACGAGGTTAAAGGTAAAATATATGAATTGATTTCCTTACGATTTGCCGCCCTTTTTAAATTACGCGGTGAAAAACTTCTTTCTTCATAGGCTTGCTTTAAGGTAGGAATTTCTTCCAAATCGATATACGACCTTCGTCTCGACATTGAACTAAAACTCATTTGATTTTGAAAATAAAATTGTCGCTTCAATAAACCATTCGATGCTGAATAAATAGCTCGATGAATCATGCCCTCATATAGAGTCAAAAAAGGAACATCGATTCCGATTATTCCTCGGAATTTCACGGGTATTTCACGGGTATTTCGGAATTTTCATATTAATAAGGAATATGATTGATATTTTATTAAAATTTATAAAAATTTATGGAAGATGCAATACTAGTGTATAATACATATAATTTTCAACTGTGATATAAATAAATTACATGAAACTATATAATCATAATACAATAGTTCTATATAAATCGTCTCGCAATTTGTCGCTCGTTTAACCAATAAGAAGTGTATGTAGGTTTATTATTACTAAATGTTTAAATCATCAGTTGGAGATGACGTTGGCAGATTAGTGCCAGACCAAGGTTCTGTACGTCGAGGTGGAGAAGAAAGTATAGCTAAGGCTTGACATGCTCTATAAATCTTTAATAGAGATCATATATTGGTTACAAATGATTAATGCGTAATAACTGTAATAACTAATATAACGATAGATAATACATACTCTTCGGGCCAATCTTCTAACATTTCCATCAATCGCAACAACTTCCCAAGCGAAATCTATACCAAACATCATTTTAATTCCGTAAACAATACGCTTAGCATGAACTTCCTTCATCAATACATAATCATCGCTGGTATTATATGGAATTAGGGCAGGATTTGAGTCAAGTGCTCTCTGTACTAACGTGAGAACAGTTTGTTCAATCGCTGGAAGATCAAGCACACATTCGGGTGCATTAACTAGATAGTACATTATAAAAATTTTAATTTTAGCTTAATTCTTTTAAAAATACACAGAAAAAAAGGAGAAAAAAAAATACCAGCGATTTCGAAAGGTTGTGATACGGCCATGACACCATATTTTTTATCATGATGGTACCTAAACTCGTAAGTTCCTACTTCCCATGGTAATTTATCTCCTTTAAAGCATACGTCACCAGTTTCCACTTGATCATTATTATCAATGTTCTTCGATCCTGTGTCAGAATCATCCTCTTCTGGTGTTACATAAAAATACCGTCCTTTACTTGATACACTGGTCACCATCTTCGATGAATTTGCAGTAACCTTATAGATACCAATCCAATCTAAACGCGAATGATTTTTTGGTGCAGTCCATTTGACACATATTGGTGAACCTAATTCAAATGTAATGGGATTCGCGTCACTACAGGTTTCATTCTTATCATTGTCAAGTGAAGCCATACTATTTGATGATGAATTATGTAAATCATTTGAAGGATGAACCGGCGCTAGTGAATATTGCTTAAGATCTTGATTTTTTATATTTTCGGTAACTCGTCTGAATCACAAACACAATACACAATGTGACAAAACTTAGTAAGTGTGTGAATAGATATAAAGAAAAATAAAACATCACATACCTAATTATAATTATGAACGCGCTAGTTGAATTTTTCAATAAACTTCGAGTCTCAAAAACTACGCCTTGTAATCTGGGTCTTGCAGCTTCAACAATCTCTCCTACGACTTCGGCTGTCTCCTCGACAACCTTTTCAACCGTTTCAGCTACTTCTCTGACAACACGTTTAACTACTTGAAATTCCGGTGCTTCTTGAATTTTAGAAACTTCTTCTTTAACCTTGACTGGGATAATTTTGACACGTTTGATGGTCTTTGTTACGCCAGCATCCTTACGAATCTTATCACCATATAATTTTCTCATATGTGGACTTTCGACATAATGTAAAAATAAGAAACTCGAAATTTGAGCAAATAGCGCTAGACCAAAAATAAGCCAACTGTTTGCCATTAAAGTTATTCCCCAGAAGGCAGCATGACCAATAAGTTTTTCTGGATTATTAAGAAATCTATATATTCCAGTGTAATATAATGTTGTGGGATAATCATCGAGGAAGAAATCACCATAAAACCAACCAAAATCACCCAATACTTCAAATACTGAAACAGATGTCCAGATATGTAAAGCAATAAGAAGCATGCCCAAGGTATGACGCAATAATACCATGCCATAAGTCCAATCTTCGGGGAAATAGTACATCTTCCACGCAGCGGCAAGAAAAGTTACGTAAGTCATGCATAACGAAAGATTATAAATACTAATGAATAACAAAAGATTAATCATAAGTAAAACCTTTTAATTATACGAAGTCAATAGTATTTAAAAACGCACCTCTTCCAATTTGAAAATGCTTCACTAACGTTACCGCCAAATTTAATGTAATGTTTAGTTAAAAACTTATTTTTACTCTGAAAATATAAAACTGCACCTAAGACATAAGAATGAAAAATATGCCATGCCAAACACTGAGCAACTAAGAAAAATTTGATCGCATTATTAGAAGCACCCGCAATGGATAATGGAATAATTGCCGCGTAAATAACAATAAAAATGACGAAAAGATCATTTGAACGGAAAAGGTCGAAATTTTTGAATACGATAAGATCACGACAAAAATGATAATTTGATGTGTTTGATAAGTCTGGAAGTGTAGGTTGAATTTCATTTGAAGCTGATAAAACTTCGTTTATAGAAGTTGTAAATTCATGTGTTTCTGATATAATTGGTTTTGATAATTTTGCATTAAGTGGTGTAGGAGGATTATAAGTCTTTTCAATATCTAACAATGAAAAATCATAATTAATTCACATGAACCATTAATACGACAATATATAATTATATTTATTTATGACTTACGTGGATTTTCAACGAATGTTAAAAATGCAAACTGTGCCGCATGCGCCGCCAAACTTACAAATAATACTTTATAACTTGCCATCATGAGGGAAATTCCATAGTAGCCTGCATATCCAACAGAGTACATCGGGTGTGGTGCCATTTCAAATACACCATCAAACGTAAGTGATTGATCTATAAGAAAAAAGAAATCCCCCCAGTCTGTGATATAACATATAAAAAAAAATATATATATAATATAAATATATCATTAAACGGTTCCTTAATTACATTTCCAAACAATTCCAAAATCTTACACCATGCAAAATCTTTTACAACACGATGCGCATCAGTTTTGACCCAAACATTAAACCATAGTAAAAAAAGACCACCAGACCATCGTGCTATATTAATTAACACGCCAGAACCTTCTGGAATATTAAAATTAGCAAGCGCAAAACAAATATACGAAGTAAAATCGTTTAAAAGAATCAGGTCAACAAGTTGACGAAAAAGAAGCCACGCATTAAATTCCAAAGGAGCAGTCTAGCGATATAAAGACAAATTAAATATAAATAAGCAAATCAATAGAATATAATACAATACAATAAATGTAAAATGTCATACCTCAAAATTATAGTCGCTTCCCATTTTTGTGCTCAATTCTTTTTTAAGAAATAAATATAATTTTTTATTTTTTTCCTTGTCGAAAAACTTATTGCGTTTAATCCACAAGACAACACCGCGCTTATCACTTTGATATTTCAATATTATTCCTAAACCAACATTATACGCGAATCTCCAAAAAAAGAAAAGAAGGAGGAAAAGCCATCTTGAAGTAGAAGCAGGAAGTACAAAAAACAGAATGACTTGGCACCCGATCACAGTAAACGTAAAAATATCAAATGTTGATTTTTTTGCCTTAGTGTCAAAAACTGTAGTCAACATGTCTACAGTATGCGGGACTTGAAAGACTATAATATAATAAAGGGTAAATAAAAAAGTTCAGAAGCGACGCGTATTATAATTATAATGATTTAAGAAAGAGCTACGCTTCAATTCTCTTAGCATACAAATAATAATAACTAACCTCCGGCATCGTGAGTTTTCCCATATACAATTTCTTCTTTATCTTTGTCGTTATTAGCTTTAACATCATTTTGATTCTCGTTAAGCATTTTTTTTAAAAGCTTTAATTTTTTAATATATACAAAAGAAAATCGTAATGAAAAACAACATAAATTTTTTTTTATTGAACGAAGATTATTTTTTTGTACATTATGATCACCCCAACAAAAAAAAAAAAATAAACCCGATTTAGTTGTATTCAGGTGTCAAAATGCCAATTTTGCAACTTACAAATAATCTTTTGCCATCTATTTACCGACTTTTTTGGGGAAATTTTTTTATAATCGTATTAGTCTTATTCTTCATGTTCTGAATATCATGATCTTATCATGATGAAATTTCTAGAAGGTTAGATAAGATATCATTACTTTAAAAATTCCCGATATAGAGAGTATTTTAAGTATGACGAATTTATTAAAAATTACGGTCATTCCAGTCCCTACATCATTTGTAGTATTATACTCCAACCGCCAATTATCTTGTTATTCAATTATTTTCAAGACCAACCGTATCAATTAATTCAAAAAGTATAATTATAAAGATATTTAATTTTTTAAAGTCTCAATTAAAATGTTAGTGGCAGATCATACATTGAAACATTTATGCAAGATGATGCATAGCTCGCGTGACTCATTGTGCAAATTTTTAATAAAACATATTG